ATGTTGCTAATGTTTGAAGAACTCATGCTAAACTTCGAAAACCTCACATTCAGATAAGGAAGATATTGTAGGCCCCAGTGTCTCTGTGCTAGAAAAACCAATGAGTTGTTGTAGTGTCTGAAGATCCCAAGTAAATACAATTCTTGAAGAGCAAAAAATTGAATAAAAAAAAATCAGTACTAAAATATAAGAATCATCTCATCACACTTTCTTTTAAAATTTTTTGAAAATGAATAAAGGAAAAAAAAAAAAAAAAACCAGTGTAACTTCAGCAAACATGGACTTAGCAGTTAAATCTTGGACAACATAAATTTTCTCCTTCAGACAGAAAATAGACTGTTAACATGTTCAGGCTCACAACCAACAAAAAGGGGATCACCACAATCATTTACACCGGCCACTTTTCCTCCTATTAACAACCATTACTACAATGGAAGAGTAATGCTTGCACTTACGGTTGAGAGAAGAGACACCAGTATTTTCAACCAAAAGAGAAAGCGCACATCTTAGCAAGCGTCTTGAATCAACAGAAGGAATCCTAGTTGTCTCTTTAAAACAGAAGGCATACAAAATAAGAAGTAAAACAGGAAAAATAATCCAGCTTAAATTTTAGCAGTTTATCCATTGAAAAATAAGCAAATTAAAAGATTACACCTCCTAAGAAGAGACGTTATACTTCTACAATGTCTAAGTCCATTAAAAAGAGATAATCATATAACTCAATTTTTTATTTTATAATTAAAGTAACAAAATTTACTTAATAAAATAAGCTATCTTCATACAACACAGGTTCAGTACGTCAACCTCAGTATTTCTCACTTGAAGAAGAGGCAACATGCTGCCACGTCATTTGCCGTTACCATTGAGAGAATAAGATCCAGCACACAATTATTTACAACATTTGACCCCATATGAGAAATTTAAATGATATATTGACATATATGTTATCCGTATGTGTAATTTTTCTTTGCAATGGCTTCTGAACACCACACTCAACAGCAGAGAAATCCCATGACTACAAATGTTTTTGCTGAACTCCAGCTTCTCTGCACCATTTGCTTGGCTTGATAAATGAATTTTTGTTTGTCAGTCATTTGATCTTGCATTATAGAATTTTCCAGGGAAGCCAGTATCAAACCCATGGAAAATCCAAATCCACCTCCTACAATCATTTCCAAAAAACACATGGGAAATCATCAAGTTATCTGCTTTACTACAGAACCCCAAAAACCCTATGTGTTTCTCTGCAACATAGCAAGGTAATGTAATCAAACTAAAACAAATATGCATTTGCTAAAAGAAAAGGGACAGCTTATTGCTGAAATCTTGAAATTTTAACAAATGCTCAGAGTAAGAGTACACACACACCCACAAAAAGAAGCAAAGATGAAAGCCACCATTTAACTCCAATTTCAGAGAAACAGATCATATCCTAATCATCCACTGCAGTGCTGGCCAGACCAGCATCTGAACCATCCAAACCTAATCATTAAGTAGATGTAATTACATTGATCACAATCATGCTTAAAATAATAAAAGATCACCATATATGGAGCATCCAAGGTCATTCAAAAGATGAGAATAAATCACAAAGGAGAACCAAGCAGACTTCTAAAACTAAAAGTAACAGCCCTGCCATTTTTTATCAATCACAAAGAGCAATGTAAAATAACACACATGAGAAAGTCCATGAAAGGCCATAAACACCTATTAAGTTTCATTCTTGGTCCAACAGATAACTTTTTTTCCTTTATTTATATGTTATTTTCTGCTCCAGGTTGTCAGTGCAAACATTCAATAATTTCCCACCAATTTCAATTAGATAACTGAAAATAAAAGACTTCGTCAATAGAACTGCAGTTAGCACATAGCAAATCATATAGTTCAGCTCTTGGCATCACCACTAATTTTGCATGAAAACCTGATTTAGCCAATAAAGCTGTGGTTAACCAATTAAACACTCACTGGTGATTGTCAACTGGTATCATTTAGACAAACTGATAGGCAAAACAGTAATCAAGCACAGTCAATTTTGCATCCATTCCTCTCATCAGGTTCCAAATCTGTTATATATATATATATATATATAAAAGCTCACCAGCAGCGCATTTGTCAGTAACATGGGAAAAGGGTGGAGCAAGGAATCAG